ATCCTGTAGATACCTGTGATACGTTGATAAATAAGGTCTGCAAACAGAAGGACATGATCAAATTTCTCCAGACATTTATCAATCTGATTAAAATAAGATCCTAGTTTGGGCTTTATTTTTTTCTCATTTAAAGCGCGGTGGTCGTCGCGCAGTGCGTGTTCGCATTTCATGTAAATAAACAATGTATTTTACACGCACGCAGTACATATTTACTATAATTTGACGTAGTATTTACCTTGCCGTTTATTCGGTGTTATTTGCTTATTTTACACGCGTTGTATACGTCGCTATGAGTCTCATATCGAACAGGACACGCCGCGACGACTACCGCCCTTTAATATGTATTTCATTTATATTCATATGTTTTTAATTATTTATTTTATCATACCCTTCTTTTACTTTATTTTATTTATTATTATTATTTATATATTTAAAATAAACTATAAAATTAAATTCACGCCGTGCTAGTACAACATATCAGATTTTAATCAAATTGGACATGTGACTGGCAAAATGACAAATCGGTTGATTGTGATAATTTTTGACTCGATTGAAAAGTCTTTGGGTTTAAACTGCAGATAACCCGACAATCTGAAGGGCCCAATTAATTTATTAATATTATTTATTTCGTCGAAAGTCCATTTCTTCGAATAACCACTTGTCGAGAGTTAAATATATTGTTATTTGAATATCCAAGCACAATCAAATACATGTATAATGTGAATTGATGGAAATATTGCGTGTAATTTCAGATTGTTTAGAAAAACGGGTTTTCGGAGAACTACAGAGGGCTCGTAATCACACCCGATTCACATTTAATTACCGTCGAGAGTTTGTTTTGTTGACAGGTTTTGTACACCGATTAAGAATTGGTGGACAGAACTTTTGGCAACTCATATATATTATTGATTGAGATCTAACAGTTATATATACATATTTATAACTTATACGACGTATTTATATTTATTCACCTAAAACTCATACGCAAGTATGGCGTAATTATTTATATTTTCTTATTATATATTATATTTATTCTATCTGCACCCATCAAACTTTTAATGTTAGCCAACAATTCGCCCTATTTATTAATTTTAACTAATAAAATAAGTACACATACACACACTATTCGTACTACTACAGAAAAAGATCACGCAAACAGACTTTCGATGTGATTAGCTGTGCATTAGGTGAGACAAACTTTAGATCTCCGAAAATACTTTCTTCTGCAACAGATGCAAATGTAAACAATGATTTCACTAATTCGTACCGCACAGGATGGGAATTTAGTTAAAAATGGAACAGGAAATAATGGCACATGCATGTAATAATGGTACGGTGACAGTGGAAATGACCTAGGTGCTAATAATGGCGCACTGTTCTGCTGCAAGGCATGATCCTACAAAAAAACAACCAAGGATTGTATTTATTTTCCAGCAATCATGGTGTACATGATCTACTAAAAATATCCGGCACTGGGGTATTTTCAGACACTTTTAACTTGAACTCAATCATTCCATTCCATGACTTTTCCATCACAAGTATTTAATATATTAGTTACTACTGGGTGGTAGGTGGACACTTAAATAACGATGATTTTCACTTAATTCGACTAGTAAATAGTCGGGAAAAATACAAACTTGAAAATAATGGCCATAATTTGAGGCAGATAAATTGTTACCGTCCAATCTAACATAATTATACATGAACATAATCGAATGACTTATAACAAATAGTATACTTGGTGTAAAGACCACGCCGTCACGAATGTCATGTAAGAAAAAAGATGTGCGATTCACACCAAACTCGAACCCAAAGTCGAGAATGTATATTTTCCATTCGCCGGTTAATTCCAGAAAATTTCTTTTCACCAACAGTTCGTCACAAATTATTCCTGATTATAGTCTGCGTTATCATCATGATTCAGAAGATTGGAACAAAAATAGCCAAATATGTAAAGAGTAAAAACCGAACATTGACTCAAATTTTGTCTAATGGCTCCAAAATTAGGGTTCATTTTCAGAAATATTGAGGAATATAAGACAAAGTAAAGAGAAATTTGGGCGAGAAAGTCGGGTGATGAAAAGGTTAAGGCGGACTGCTATATTCGTTAGTTTGTTACATTTGCGCATACTTTAGCACATATAGCAGTGACATTATTGGCTCAGAATCTGTTTACAATTAGTTTGTAGTTACATTGGTTCATTGTCAATCGTGTCAATCTGTTTTTTTTCGAAGAAAACGGGGCAAAATGATATGTATAAATGTCATTTTAGCAGTGGTTTCCATAGCCCACTATGAAAACCCACTAAAATAATGTAAATATATTATTACCTGAAGACATCAAAAACTACTCTGTACGACGACACTGTATATCTGTTTCCACTATATATATGTCACTGAGCAAAATTTTGAGATAAATTCTTACCTTAGAAAACAATAGTAAAACAGTGACCCGATATTTTTAAATTCATTTGTTTGTATCCTCGTAACATCAAATATGTACTACGTTTTACATTAAATTAAAAAAAGTCTATCTGCATCGGCCGGGAATCGAACCCGGGCCTCCCGCGTGGCAGGCGAGAATTCTACCACTGAACCACCGATGCCTTGACGAAAGATTAGCCATTCTCAACATATAGATAACATATAGTGAATAGTTACATACACTAATACAAAAATATAAAATGTTCATACTCTGATTCATGGATGCGTGATGTTTTTTGTTCTGTTTTCATAACATCGGAGACATATTTCCAAGCTACGTGCATAACCACTCGTACTACATTTTTGTGCAATGCATGTCGGGAGTTCACTGTACAAATTCAATATGGCGGTAAGAGTGAGGTAAGATCGTCCAGCTTTTAATTAATTTTTGAACTTTGAACAGCCGATGTATGTGCATTGCCATTCGACTTAATATCATATAAATAATATACTGTTCTGTTGTAAAACAATCACTGAATGCCTACGTACCCATATTAATTACGTTAACTTCTTTACTCGAGGACACCGTGTACTAACAGAGTGACTCGTAAAATGTGTGTGGGTACACATTTACTTTTCTCCTTTATCAATGACACTTAACAAGCACCTGGACTCTGTCCCCAGACCGGCAGTACTACCACACATACAGGAAATGAGCGCAATTTCAGGCAAGCTTGATAAATGTCAACAGTTATGATAGCACTACTCACAGTCCCCTATATAAGAATAAAGATAATGTGCACTACCCTACCTCAAATTTGTTAGACTAAATATACAAAAAATACTGTGAAACCTAACAAGATTTCACTGAGACTCAAATGGAATTCAATTATTCAGAACTTCTGCGAAATTGTGAAGACTTTACTGTTGGCTCCAACATTAGGGTACATTTCCAGAAATATTGAGGAATATTGGAAAAAAAATGCAGACAAATTTGGGTGAGAAAGTCGTGTGGTGAAAAGGTTAGAAGTGCATTTATCACAATTTATTTTTTATTCACCTATCAAATGGTCTAAATCCAATAGTTGTGAGGTGATGGCTGAATGAATATTAGCTAGGGAAGATGCTTCACAACATATAAGGACATTTTTAATGTAGCTTTTATTACAGTCATGTTTCTTGTAATTTAATTAAAAATTTTGTTTTTATTGGCAGTGATTTACCATCCCCTTCAGAATGTGCTATAATCCGGGAGGTTTACGATGGTGAAAATGCCCAAGAACATTTTGAATTTCAACTTGAGCATGCCTTGGAAGCTGAATGTGGTATCATAGTGATTGAACCATCCAAGATTGGAGATGAAACAGCAAGATGGATTACTGTAGGAAATTGTCTACATAAGACAGCAGTTATTACTGGTGTAACATGTATAGTGTGCCCTCTAATGTTGCCCTGTAGTGTGTCAAACTATGTTAGTCTACCTCTAGGCATTATCAGCATTGGATGTGCAAGTCTGTATGGAGTATCCTGGCAGTTTGATCCCTGTTGTAAATACCAAGTGGAGTATAACACTAAGAAGCTGTCACGTTTACCTCTGCATACGCTGACATCAACTTCACCAGTGGTACTTGTTAGACGTAATGACAATTACAGGAAAAGACTTCATAACACAATATCGTTTTTAGCAGCCACATATTGTTGTTTCAAACTCTACCGATGGTGGGCACAGTGATTGATACTAATGTAATTCACTCATCAGCACGACATTTACAATTAAGTGTCCAACTATGCTGTTTGTTGAAATTTTCTCTATTGCATGCATTGCCAGTGTCTACTGCATGAACAGTGTGAATGAACTGTAAACTTATGCAGAAATAAAAAAAAATGTGCTTCTTTGAGTAAAGAAACCAGGGAACTTTCTAAAACATTGTGTTTTCTGAAGTTACTGTGAACTAGAGCCCCTCTATTACTGTCCTTTTATGATAAATTCATTTTTCACAATTTTAGGATTTAATGGCTTTCATGAGGAAATCATTTTGCAAAAGTTGGGTCACTCTTCAAGATATCAGAGAAATTTTCACTGTTAAAATGTTACTATTTTCTTGTGTGGATTAAAGTGTTTACAGTATTACAACATCAAAAGTTCAATGTAGAATAAAAAACTTAATTCCTTCAGAGCCAACCCCCCCCCCCCCCCCCATGAAATTTAATTGATAAATATTGATCATGGCGTCAGACTACATTCACCATTAAATACAAATTGATAATCGGACAGTAGTATGGCATAGCAGTTGGTTGTCTACTTCCATGCCCTGAAATTGACTTCATTTCACGCACATATTTACACTCGGACCAAACCATTTTCTCGTCTTGGAGGATGTTTTTTTTTCATTTTCTATTATTTTTGTCAATGATTTGATAGAGAAAAAAACGAACTACAAATTCTCCAAGATTTTTTTGACTTCATTAAAAAATATAATCGTTTTTATAGGATGGAAACTTTTTGAGGTCACCCCACCCCCACCCCTAAACTAAAGCAAATAAGTTTTTTATCCGACATCGAACTTTTGACTAGTGGACTTGTGTTGTACTACTACAGGTTGTTCACAATTTCAAAATATGGTGAACCAACTGATTTCTTTTTATTACGCCTGAATATTGTATAACTTGTAATTTTCTATTTATTGTTAGCAAAATTACACTGACATATGTATTCAGTGGATTTAAAATGGATTTTTTATTCTTAATCTATGTTGTTCAACTTCATCCTTGGGGGTGGTGTTTGGAAGTGACTATTGTAAGTGACATTGTTTTCCACAAGTTAGGCCAGAAGCAAATGATATAAAAGGGATAATCAATTTAATTACTGGAATACGTTGTAAGTTACAATTAAAGGCACCTAAGGGTTCTTGAGATATTGGTGGAATGAGATTTGACACCCATTATGCACAGAAGTCAGAAAGGTACTACTGTATAATACTTTTTCGCGATGGGATGATTCAGTGAAAATAGCCAATATACCCTTTTTCCTTTATTTTACATTCAAATCATCAAAAATCAGTGAAAATAAACTCCAAACAAAACATCATAGTCTTTTTCAGCGAAAATTAATCCCAGCTAAAATAAATGATTTACAGTAATACTATATAGAGTGAACAGTTGTGGTTTGTAGTCCCCGTTCAGGCGAAGCCTGAAAGGGGAGTACTAGATTTACTCTCATTTTGAAGTTGTCTCTCACATTTTCTCGGAGACTCTGCAGCAGATGCCAATGAAACTTGGCAGGTTGATGAAAAAGTATGTGTTAATAGGCACGTAATTTTTTTTTCTAAATCTGAAAATCCTCAGTGGGTCTTTTTCAAGATTTTCATTCAAAATTACCTCTCTCTACTACACTGACAGAGCATGCTCAGAATAATTGATTCTGTTAAATTCAGATTCATGAATTCCTGATTTCAGATTCACAAGTTTTACCAAATGTATTCAATCGGTAGTGTATACTTTTCAGAACTCTGAGCCTCAGAATTTCTAAGAGCCCAATTTCAAAATAGCTTCCTTATTGGAAGTCATCTTTTAGGTTATTACCCTACCCAAAAAATATGCAAATTAGCTAAATCCAGTTATTTCCTTTGATCTCGGCAACCATTGAGCTGATTTCGTTCATATTTGGTAGGATTACACCTTGACACAAGTAGATGTGCTTTTGACAGTAATGACCACGCCCTCCCAAAAATATGCAAATTAGATCAATGCAGTTATCCCAGCAACCATTGGGCCAATTTAGTTGATATGTGGTAGGATCACACTTTGAAATGAGTAGATGTGCTTTTGGCAATAATGACCACGCTCCTCAAATTACACGTACTTGCTCTGAAAACAGAGCTTCTACAATTGTTCTAATGCCCAGTGGTGATTTAGAAACAAACCCAGGTCCTGGTAATTTACTAAGGCCTGAATTAACAAAGTCATCATGTACATCAAGGTTCACTCAGATTTATGAATGTAGGGCTTAGCTTATATTAATGATTGGCACCCGCTTTTTGAATTCTTCTTGAAAACCACAAGTCTGATTGCTTTGATAATATACATATATGTACCTCAGGTGGATCTCTCATTTAGCAATATCTTCAATTCTCTAATTTTTGCTTTTAAAAATCTATGGTTAGGTTGTCATTAGTGACATCATCACCCAGCACACCCAAGAGGCAAAAAAACGCCATATGTTTGTGGTCTACTTCACAGCCAGTTTTATACTCTATATTTAGGGCATTTTGCAGCACATACAAGTTGTTTTTAATCGCCAGAATTCATTCATAGATCACCAATTTCATGTACAGAGTGACAAAAGCCAGACCTCTGCTCCCCTTAACGGAAAGAGTTGCCCACCCCAGAACCCAAACACTCAAGTCCCCCTAATGTAATTGTATATGCCCCTCCAAATAACTACATGTAAAGGGTTATTTGTGAGGGGCTCTAAGGATCTCTTAAGATCATTCATCGTTTCAAATGTAGTCTTGGGACCAATCTGAT